CCTTGCCCTCTCTAGTGTACAATGTCTCCCCTGGAGGGGCTGAGAACCAGGTGACCAAAAAAATTGAGGCTCTGAGCCCCCAATGCTTGTGCATCCCTGCTATGATCAATAGTCTGGCAGCCTTAAGACAGAGTAGTGCAACCCTTGAAGCACTTTCCAATGACCCTCTAATCCTTCTGCATCAGCTGCATTGATCTGATCCAGTCTGCAGTAATATGAGATTGCAGTCTGTACCTACCATTAACTATCTTGCGTAGGCTTTGGAATATCAGGATGTGCCAAAGAATTGGATGCTGGCAAGTGCCAAGGTGCCCAGCCTCTCAGTCTTGTAGGATGAGCGTGTCCATCCATTGTGGAGAATCTGAAATGGATGGAAACTGCTGTAGATCAGTCTGGTCAGCTTCCAGGGTCACCTGATGATAGGTCTGAGCTACCCTGTTCACTTTCCCCCACTGAAAGTGGACTCTGCACCCACATGAAGAGCATGTGTTCTCTGAGTGGGGTGGCAGGAGAGGCTGCTTCGCTCTGGATCGGAGTCTGGTGTAATCAGGAGAGCAGTGTGGAAAACAAAAGGTTGCAATGTGCAATCCACACACTCTTCCTGGTCTGGAACTGGAGGTCCTTGAGCAGCTGGCATCACTTAAGATCTGAATCTGCAAGGTGCTGAGCAGCTTCAGTTCCCATTGACTTATGGGAGTTGGCCGTGCTGCCTTCCTCACAGGAAGTGCCCGGCACCTTGCACAGCCAGGGTAAAGGGTATTCTCTGGAGCTTGAGACACCAGCCTTGTCAGCTTTCATTCTAATAACATCCGTCCTCTGGATCCTCAGGGCAGAATTCTCTTTGCCTTGGGCTAAATCTGTTTCTTTTGGCAAGCATCTCATCTGCTTCATACCATGCAGCTTGACTGAGAAGTAATCCCCCTGCTGCTCCTGCCTGGATTCTGACTTTTCCTATCAATTGCTTTTGAGCACAATTGTATGTAGCTGCTCAACTCACACCTGGCCTTTTGATAAGCTAGACAGAGCTTCTTGGTGAAGGGTCAGCAGAGCTCTATGACTAGTCTGTTTACAGAAGCCAAGGCATTTACTTTCTTCCTATTAATTTTCAAGCTGTAGAAAGTGTTGTCCAGCCATGAGTGCCAAGACAGGAGCTAGGGATACTGTCAGAGCATTGGTCCCCAAAGCAGCCATCTTTCTGAGCAAGTGCATTGCTGCTTTGTGTTTAACCACAATTCTGATTCTGTAAGTCCAGTGCAGAATATAGGATCCAACTGAACTTTCTCCCGTTGCTACTGTCAGCCACTAATGCTCGCACAAGCAGTTCAGTTGGTAAAACAGTCAGAGAATGCTTGACCGTAATGAAACCTACCCACGGGGAGGAGAAGGCCAGCAGTAGATCTCCAGAGCAAGCCAAGTTCTGAAACACTGGGAGGCCTGGGACTAGCAGCTTCATTCAGCTGTCTCCTCCTGGACTCGTATCACTCCTAAATGCTTATTTTTTTAATGTATGAGTCAATTAAAAAGGGGTATTTTGAGGACATTTTTTATTCCGAGTGGTAATGTCTGTAAAATTTTGTCTAACCTTATGATTTCTGTGGATCTCTTTGGCCATCATCTGATCACTCTAACACACTAGAACAGCACAGGGTTTGGAACCTTAATCAAATAGCAGGAACTTCTTGAGTTCAGCACAAACTACCCCGATTCATTAGGCAAACCAAGAACTTGGTCTTGAAAACAACAAGCCTTCCAACTGAGGAGTGTGCTCTTCTCTTCCCCTGAGATGCCAGCATTTCTTAGACACAAGTCTCCTTCAGCACCTCTCAGCCCCTGCACCTGGCACAGCTTGAGCCCAAGGGCCCACATCTAGGATCATAGGCGTTAGAGATGGAAGAGGCCTGTTAGATTAGTCCATTCCTCTGCAAGGCCAGGGTAGCTGATCCCGCCCCCCCCCCCCGTTCCTTCTAATAGTGGTAATGCACTTGCTCTGTGCTGGACTCCCACCTGAGGATGAAGCAGCGTGTCTTTAGGTGTAGCCGGCACAGCATTAGGCTTCTGTGTGTTGCAGCCTATGTTTTTCAAATAAAATTAATTCCGTTTATTTGATTTTTTTTTTTAATTGGAATATTTTTTGCTCTGTTTACCCATAACTTGGTTATCAAGCCTTATCTTCTGCACTAGGGGTGAGGTACTCACATGGTTTTGGGCTCCCTCCCTCCCTCAGCTGCTTGCTGGGTCTCCTGGCCCCATGATGGTACTATAATAAAGCAATTTTCCTTTTTGCTTTCCTGTTCCAACCTTTCCCTTTCTGGCAGCTTCAGACTTCACTTGAAGGGTCTTTTTGGGACAAATGAAACATGTGCTTTATTTTTATTTTTTAAATAAGGATATTGAAGGATGGGGGTGGGGGGATGCGTTAGTCGGAGGGACCCATCCAACATATGAATGGATATTGAGGTCCGATTGTGGCTCGCTTTTGCCTAGATCTCTTCCTAGCTGCATCTGCATTTCAGCTGGTTAAGACTGGCAAGAGGTACGCGGCTTGGGGGTGGTGGTGGTTTAGGGCTACTTTATTTTTCTGTTGTTGATATGTTGGAATATCTTATCGTTCAGCCGTTGTCTTTCATTGATGTTGGTTTCCATTTGTATTTAGGGATGGATGGTTGAACAAATACAATTAGCAGGCGAGGCTGCTGCATGGTGGAAATGAGTGGAGAGTCAGTGATTGCTTCCATGACACGTTGCAAACTCTGGCTGGCTGTTTGCCTTTGGAACGGCTGCGCCGCTATTCTGCTTCCCTGAAGGAGGAGCTTTTCCATGGCCTTACACTCCGTTAGTCTATAATACAGGCCAGTGCCCTGGGGGTTAGGAGACCAGTTAGAAACAATCAAGGTAGTGTAAAAATTCAGTATCACAAACAAAACAGCAGCGGGCAAATACGGACCTGGTCCCTGGGTGTGCGCGTCCTTGCAATAGTGGGCAGGGTGGAGTGAGTACATTCAGGCCAGAGCTCAGTGTACCTTGAGAAGCCTGAGGTTGGACAGTTGTGTTCTGTTGGACAGATTGTTTAGAAAACAGGTTTAGTCAAGGTTTTTTCCTAAAAACATAAAAAGAGCAATGTGATGATGATATGGGCTTGACTTGAACCTTCCCAGCCCAGGGTATTCAAACTGCAGGTGGAGATTCTTTGGTTTATGTTTTTCCTCCCCACCTGCTGTGCCTAGGGTGTGGGATCTCAGAATAGTAGGCAGCCTTACACACCTGAGCCCTTCTTCCACAGTGCAGTTGGGAGAGTGAGGATCTTTCTTCCTTAACTCTGAATTCTGTGGGCGTTAGTAGCTTTAAACCGGCCCTGTAACTTTGTACTGTAGTGTTCGTGTGAATGGAACAGTATCTAACCTTTCCCTCTGGGATTGCAGGTGGAAGCAAGTGGAATGCCAAAGCAAATTCTTATGTTCATTTTTGGTGCCTTTTTGTTGTGGTTTGATCACAAGTCTGTTGGAAGAAGCTTCTGTTTCAAGGAACTTCTGTTTCCTCTTTAAATCTAACTCCTGGAGGAGCTGGTCCCTAATCCAGGCACTTCCCCCTCTAAAAGCAGGGGGTATTATTTTACCGTCCTGAGATCCATGCTCTGGAATGTCCTAGCTGAAGTACGGTGCTACTTGTGAATATCCTCTGATAGTTTCTGCTGTCTGGATGCATAGTAATGGATATGATAGGGGAACTGGTGGGCTCCTTCAGGTTTGCTCTCCCCAAAGAAATCTTCAGAGGGATGGGAGCTCCCAGGAAACATTGTGCCCATCTGTCCATTGTTTTCAGGGGCTTGGTGAAGGTCAGATTTTGGGTAGGAGCTTGGCCTTCAGCATGGCTTCAATCCTGCTTCTGTAGCAGTAGCGTAGTTTATGGCATGATGTCAACCCCATCCCGCATCAGGACCTTGCTAGCAAAGGGCTTCCCCTAGAGTGGCAATTGTGGCAGGGACTCTAAACCAAGAGCAGAATACAGTACTTCATCCCTGGCTTTCCTGTGGTTGAGACTGGACTAGCAGCAACCATTGGAAACATAGTCCACTTTCAGCTGTAGCCTGCACAGTCTCTTTGGAAAGGGATAGAAAACTACTGGAGTCTGCATGGCTCTTGATTTGTAACAGATTCTGAGAAAGTGGTTTGGGACAAAACTTCTCTTAAACTCCTGCTAGTAGCAGACCCTCTGCAGCATCTGTCTGCTCCTTGTGCCCATTAGGGCAGGAGAGAGATCTGCTTAGTGGGAATCCCAGGGAGAGCAGGGTCTGGAATCTCAGAATCAATTCCACTATCTGGCTCTGCTACATCTCCATGACAAATCCATGCAAAGGTCTAATGGGACTAGGTTTGGGTTTTTTTTACACACTTGCCTCTGTTTCCACCAGTTTTTATCCAGTGATTAATTCTAAATAAGCTTAGGTATGTTTTCTTGAGGAGGAATATATAATGTGGGTTGGAACTGAACTCCTCCCACAAGTTCCTGATCTTGACATAACCGTTAGGGGATGCTTCAGACCCATGAAACTTGTGATTATTTCACATCCGATCTGAACAGACTCATCCCAAGACTATGGTAGCAGGTGTACTTAACTTCTGGCATTGGTCTGTGAGGAGGAGGTTGCAGCCAGGGTTCTGTCTTCCTGGACTCTGGCTTACTCAGAGTTTATAGCTATATATTAAAGAACTATTTCTGAAGAGATCAGGGAAATGCCCTGGGGTGCTCTGTGCCTGGTCTAATCAGCATGACTCTCATTGCTGACATTGGTTTTTATTTTTCCCCCCCAATAAGTGTTTTATTAAAAAAAAAAATACAGAAGTGCTTTCTTCCCTCCCAGAGAGAGTGCTGTCTGCTCAGGAAATGTGAATAATCCATAGCAAACAGCAAAGGCTCAGGAGGCTGTGGGTAGAGATTAATCCCAGGGAAAGTGGGAAACAGCAGCTCAGACAGGTGTCAAGAGCAGTTTTTAACAAGTCTTGTTTAACCAGAAACTCTTCTTAGTGTGTGTGAATCTAGGAAATGCAAAATCTTTGAGCCATAGTTATTTCTTATTCATGTGTGTTAGGGGTGTGCTTATTTGTTCTCTCTCAGTGATTCGGTTTTAATCCAAGCATGTTCAGTCAGGATCTTGGAGTGAGTAAAACACCCAGTAGAGGCTGAGAAACTTGGGCCAGGGCTGCTCCTGGAGACTTCTTGCACTCGAGCTCTTTCTGCTTAAGAAACTAACCAGTCTGTAAGGTGGCTCCAGGCTGCATGAAACAAAAGTAGAGTTCTCAGGGTCTTTGGAGAAATAGCCTGGATTGCCCAAGGCTTTAGCCCAGATACAGTGACAATGTTTGGGTCCCATCTGTACAGCAACTCTTAACTGTGTTGTAAGTGGGTCCCAGGACTTGGATATGGTTGTGTAGACAAGGCCTGAATGAGCTGCTTGCAGGTCCCTCCTTGCTAAGGGAACACTGGCTTCTTGCAGTCAGCTGATTTGTTGAGCATTAAGAACCACACAGTTGCAAGCTCTACTCAAGGCTGCAAGACTTGAATGACCGTGAAGGATATAGCAATATGGGGAGAAATATTAATTTTTTTGGGGTAAATCTTCATCTGTATTAGTAATCAGTACTAAAGGGTTTTGAAGGAGGATTTTTTTAATTTTTATTTGTTTTTTTACTGTACATTGCTTTGTGTTATAACAACTTGCGGTGACTGTTTGTTTGTATCAATCTTAGGCCCTGGGTTAAAAGCACAGATGTCTATTTCTGATTAGACTGGCTTTGCAAAGACTTGTTCTTTTGGGGAGAAGAGCTGGGTGTGTGGGTGGGTTATTTTATTTTTGGTACATGTAGCTGTTTATTTTTTAATTTTCCCAGGATGTTTGGTTGAGGGAATGTTCTGAAATCTACTGCCTGGCAGTTTTAACCAGCAGTGTATTAAAGGAAAATAAACAAAATTATATTGTCACTTGGAGCATCTGGTGCTTTTAAAAAAAACCAAACACATGTTTTTTACTGCACAACAAGATTCCTTGAAGTGCTGAGATGGGCCTAGCTGTTTCTATTTACAATCCACCTGTAGAAGAGGCTCTTGGCTCCGATCAGGCAGGATGGAGGCAGATTCTGCCTCATGGGTGTATTATGATCTATGTCAATCTTTGCTTGAGACAGAAGGGGGGGGAAGGGGACCCAGCTCTGAGCAAAGAGAGGGTATCAGGGTTACCCACTTATTCGGGTGTTGCCACCTTCCCCTGAGCTACAGGGCAGCACTTGTGGCATGGCAGGTGCTATTAATTAACAGGTAGTGTGTAAAGATTCAGCAGCAGGGTCTGAACGCTGTAAGGATTCTTTGGAGACACTAATGTGGCTGGGTGTTTGAGCTGAGTGTACAGCATTTTCTTGGCCACTACCAGGTTGGGTATTTGGGTGGGTAATTTGGCACAAGGTAACTTGCATCAAGGAATGCCCAGAGAACCACTGCTGGAAGAAGGTCTGGGTGTATGGCGGATCCCATCAATCTAGGGACAGTGCCACCGCTGTGTATTCATGTGTAGATAAGGCCTTACTAAATGGCCCAGCCAGCATTTCAGGTGGGGCCTGTGAGGAGGGAAGGAAAAACTCCATCCGTTTCCTACACAAAGCTACTTGCTGCAGGGAGGGAGGAGAGTGGTGGAGAGTAGCACTCCTTCTTTTCCATTGGGCTGTTGGAGGTGGCTCCTAAAATACCCTTATTAATATTGTGTAACTAAACTGAAGATGGTGGGTTGTTTTCACTCTTTAGTAACTCTTCCCTTTTTCAGGATGATGCTCCAAGGAGTTCTACCAGAGATGACATCCATGGGCCAAAAACGTGTGTCTAAAATAGGCAGGGCAAACAATGTGTGTGTCCGTCCCCCCATCACCAAAGTCAGCTGCACACACTCACCCCAGTGACTTGTGAACACTTACATATGAGCATTATCAAAAACTAAAAGGAACAATCTTTGTTGGATCCCTTTGCGTTAGGATGTCACGGCGGTGCCTGATGGTAAAAATGACACAGCCCCACAAGGAGAAGCTGCAGCAGCTGCCACATGAAATGACTAGGTAGGCTTGTCTAACTGCAGTGTCCCGAGTCAATCTTTGCAATGGATAAGTTTGTAGTAATTGATGATAAGATTGGGGGAAAGGAGGCTATTGGGGATCTGAAAAGAGGAGAGAAGGCAGGGAGACTCGGATACAGCAGAGAGCCCTGCCTCACTTGTCAGCTTCTCCCAACTGCAGTCCAGGCATTTGCTTCTTTGGGGGTAGAAAAGCAGGGAGTTTACTGCATTCTCTTTGAAGCAGCGCCAGCTGTTGGTCCAGAGACCACCTGGAAGTGAATAATAGTTGTGTTTGAGGCTTTACAGAGATGTAGGAAGTCTTGGCTCTGTCCTACACAGCTTACTTCCTCAATAAACATGAAGAGGAAGGATGGGAGGTGCAAAAAGCAAAGCCACTCAGCCTGAGGTTGGGTCAGGTACTTGGAGGCTGGTGTGGTAAGCGAAGGTATCCTAGATTGTAAGTCTGCTGCTGTGTTGGCCCACTTTCAAAATGGAATAGTTATAGGTAGGGTTAAGATCTTGTCATCGCGGGTATTTTTAGAAAAAGTCTGACAGGTCGTGGGCAATAAACAAAAATTCATGGAAGCCTGTGATCTTAGTTATAGAGTTCAGACCCCTACTGGCTGTGTGGGCTGGTGCTTGGGAGATCAAGAAACTACAACTTGTAACCACTTCATTAAGTGAAATGACTTACCACTGTTTTGTGATGCTACTGCTCCTCTCTCTCCTCAGGGATGGAAGCTACCCATCCTCTGTAATTAAATTGCTGCCCCAGAAGATACTTTCTTCAATTAAATTAATGAGTAATATAGTAATGCTTCTATTTGCTCCAAATCTGTGCTTGCTAAGGGTTAGAGCTGCCTCTCTAACTACAGCTACTGGGAGAAATGGGGCCTCATGACGCATCAGAGGATAATTCAGTCCCTGAAGCCTTGTGTGTGGGAGCAGTGCTGTTTTCATCTCTTCAATTAATTCCTAGGAGCCTCTGCATTGTCAGCCCAAATTCATCCGCCTTAGAATCTCTGCAGTGACTGACTCCGCTATGGCTGGAAGCAGATGCTTCGTCTATAACTTAAAAAAAACATTGTTAAAATGAGTGAACACTAGCCATGGACTGAGCAGAGCAAAAGTGTTGTTCAGAATGAGATGTAGGTGTGAACACACAGACTAGCATACTATCTGTGCAACCCTCTGAAATGTTAATGTGCCCTAAGTGCCTCCTTGTGTGCTCAGACATATTGATCATACTGCAGATCCAGGGCTAGTTTTAGAAATTGCACTATTTCAGCACTGCTGTGCCCTGAGAGGGAAGGCTGCATGTGGGCAGAGCTGCAATGGGGTTTCGTGTCTCCAATGGCATGCAGAGGAGATGTGACTAGGGCATCCACAGTGCAGAATACAAAACTGTTCTTAGCAGGATTGAGAAATAGGCCTTATGCCCTATTTTCTTGTAACAACTTAGATTCCCCCTCCAAACTGCTTCTGATTACTTGGTATCAATTCACCAAAGCGTCAGTGCCTCCCCAGTGCTCTGTCTGTCCATGTCCTTTGTGAGCAGAGCTCTTCCTCTGCAGATTGCCCAATGTCCCCACCTCTGGCTGTGAGTGCAGGGCCCAGTAACCAGCCCTGTACCAGCGAGCTGCCCCTGAGAGAGCTATAGCAGTGAGGCGGCGCATAGCCAGCCCAGCATTGCAGGAGTCCTGACTCCCAGCAGCTCCTGGGCTTTGCTCTGCACAGTAACTTTCAGGGGGAAAGACGGGGGGTGGGGCTGATCCCTGCCACGTAAGCGGCAGCTGATGCTGAATAAGTGTCTAGCTGGTTAGGGCACAGGGAGAAGGGGTGTGTGGCACTGGCCACAGGGCTCCCATCCCAGGGCATCCCTCCTCCCCCTCCGAGCCAGGCTCAGCGCCCGGAGCACGCGCTTGACCGCTCCACGCAATAGAGCTGGACTCTGCGTTGCCAGATTGGGTCTCCCTTCCAGGCATTGCACGCTGTGGACCATGCTTAGCTTCAGTCCCCAGCCGGGCTCTCAGAGCCGAGCAGAGGGGCCGAAGTACTTCCGGCGTCGCCGCCACCCCCGTTGCCAAGCAGCGCGCCGTTGCCCTCTGACCCCGCCGGCGCGCCGCCCCTCGCTCCCATAGCTACGGAGGGAGGCGGCGGCCATCTTGGCAGAGGTGGCGGGGCGATGAGCGGCTCGAGGCCGAGGGTGGCGGCGCCAGGCCCCGAGAAGAAGCCGCCGCCGGGAAGCGGGGGGGTGCTGAGCCGGCTGCGGGGGCGGCGGGGCTCTGGGGACGCGGCGCCGCGGGCGGCCCTGCCCCGCTCAGAGTCCGAGCTGCTGGCGCTGGAGACCGTCCGGCCCGAACACGTCCTGGGGCTGGGCCGGGTCACGGAGAGTGAGTGCTGGGCTGGGGGACCTGGCACCGCGGGGCCGTCCGTGCTGCTACCGCCCTGGGGGACCCCCGTCATCCCTCTCCCCGGGCGCCCCCTAGGCTAGCCCCACTCGCGGCCGTCCTGCCCCACGTATCATCCCGGGCTCCTCCGGCAGAGCCGAGTGCGAGGCCCACGGGGACCTCGTGGCCATTGCTCTGAGGCGCCCCTCCAGGGACCCCATACACTTTGCCCCTCAGAGGCTCCATTATCATTCCCCGAGACTCCACACCTCACCCCCAGGGACCCCATTATCATCCCCTCAGAAACCCTAGACACCATACCCCCCGAGGCCCCATTATCGGCCCCTGAGGGGTCCCGTACACCTTACCCCCAGCGTCCATTAGCATTCCGCCAGGGACCCCCTATACCAGGGGTGGGCAAACTTTTTGGCCGGAGGGCCACATCTGGGTATGGAAATTGTATGGTGGGTCATGAATGCTCACGAAATTGGGGGTTGAGGTGCAGGAGGGGGTGAGGGCTTTGGCTGGGGGTGCAGGTTCTGGGCAGGGGATGAGGGATTGGGGGTGCTTTGGGCTGGGACTGAGGGGTTCTGAAGGCGGGAGGGGGATCAGGGCTGGGGGCTGGGGGTTGGGGCATAGGAGGCGGTTAGGGGTGCAGGGTCCGGGTGACTCTTATCTCAAGCAGCTCCTGGAAGCAGTTGCACGTACCCCCTCCAGGTCCCACACAGAGCTGCAGCCAGGCGGCTCTGCGTGCTGCCCTGTCCACAGGCACCGTCCCTGCAGCTCCCATGGCGCCCCCTGGCTGGAGCTTGAGGGCTGGATTAAAACGTCTGAAGTGCTGGTCTGGGCTCTGGGCCATAGTTTGCCCACTCCTTCCATATACCCCCCCATCCGCCTTGCAGCTCCAGTATCAGTCTTTCTGCAGAACTTGATATCCTCTTCTGAGGACACCAGAAGTAATCTTGCCAGGATACCCAATATTCCTTCCGGTCCAGGACACCTCTTCCCTGGGGACCCCAGTATCCCTTCCAGAAAACATCCTGGTTTAGACTAGGTGAAGGACCTACTCTGCTTCCTCTCTCGGCAGCTATATTTGGCTAGCTAGATTAAAAGGTAGAAAGGCAGAAGTTGTCAGGGTCTTGTGACAGATCTCTGCTTTTCCAACTAGGTCCATCTTGGTGCTGAGGCATCCAGCCTTTTCTGGTTTAACAGCACCAGCTACATTTGTTCACACAGACAGAAAAGTTGGGGGACAAAATCTGTCAGGGTCTGGAATACTGAGACTATTTGTCCATAGGGGCCCAGATTTTTATGTGAAGTTCCACATGCATGCCCGTGTAGATGTTACATTTTTGGTTTTAGGTCCTAAATTGGCTAGATCATCAAAGTTTTGTTTTACTTGCCTATCTAGGATGAATATCCCTGAAACTCTAGACTGCTTGTCAGCCTTGTTCAGTCTACTCCTCGAGTTTGTTAGTCTCTCGCTTTCCAGTAGTTTTGATGAAGCAGGAGCCAAATGTCCTTCCCTTTTGCAATCTGTCCCGTTGGCTTTTTTGCAGGAGTGATGCTGCTTAAGTGGTGCTTGTGTTAAACTGTGGCATACTGAATAAATAGCCTCGTTTTCCCTCTTTGATTGGATTAGCTCACTCAGTATATACAGCTGAGTAGTAGTAGTAACTTATAGTAGTGATACAATGTATACATATGAGTAGTAGTAACTTGGTTCAGTCAGCACTGAGTCCAAATACTGAACTGCATTGTACTGTTTGATTAGTCTACCTGGCAACTTGCTTTTTTGGGAAATATCCCTAAACGTTCTAAGGTGCTTGGGCTCAGTTAATGTAGCTGAAGGCCTTTTGATATCTGAGAGGAGAATCCTTGAGGCATATGGGTTAGTGGCCCATATTTTCTTCTCCTGATCTGGACTGTCGTGAGCAAAAGAGCTCCCTAATATGTTTCTCTCTCTCCTAGATTATTTATGCAAACCTGAGGACAACATCTACAATATCGATTTCACCAGATTCAAGATCCGGGACCTGGAGACAGGAACAGTGCTGTTCGAAATTGCCAAGCCTTCTGCTTCAGGTAGAACCTGCTGACAGTGGGGAAAGGGCTAGATATTATGGGTTCGGGTGGGATGCAGGGAAGGGGCCATGCAGGCCAAACACCAAGATCTTTCACTGTGCATAGTGTATTGAGTTCACCTGTGTCATCCCTTAGGATTCCTGCAGGACTGAGAGCTTCTCTGCCTGCGAATATTCTAGTTACTGTCTAAAAAAGGAATGTGAAGTGACTATAGTGATAGCGAGAGGTGTCTTGGAGACTGAAATCCTCTTTCCATGGGATAGGTACAGCACAGAGCTTCATCCATACTACTCTGTAAATGTGCCTCAACCCTGACCATGAAGGACCAGCTGTACGGGTGAGAGGGGAGTTCATTCCCTGTGATCCTTTCAGCCCTGAAATTGCCAGCATTTGGGGCAGCTCTAATAGCATGTGTTCCTAACAACCATGTGTCAGTAGTGTAAGTGATCTCATATAGGCAGTACATTTCAAAGCCACTGCTGAGTAGCTGCAGGCTGGTACTGTTTTTCCATTTCTGAGCTCTGTGGGATGCGAATACTGTGCTTAGAGATCCCTTTACCTCCTTGGCTCAGCAAGGTTGTTACAGATGGTGACCAGTGTTTGGGGGACTTGCATGCCCCATAGATGTGGTGCTGCTGTTGTGGTCTGATATGGTTTGATTTTTTCCCCCCTGAACACTAGGTCAAGGTTTATCAAATTCCATAGTTAAGCCCCACCAAAAGTCCCTTTATGTGTAAGTAGCCAAAGGAAGACTGGAGTGCAGATCCTGGAGGTAAAAGGCTAGTGGTCAAGTAACTATGTACTTCCATAGCTGATTCCTGGACATGCATCTTTGTGACATTTTGGTCCATGTAATCAATTGTGAACGTTTGCTATGAAATGTTCTCTGTTAACTTCTTAATGCCAGTAGCATATCAAAGAACAGTTTTTAGATATTGCAGTGCCAGGTGTCTGAGCAATGTCTTGGATGGTTTCTGTATACCACCTACAAGCCATCGGCATGTTACTCCTAGAACATCAGAAGATTAACTCTGAGTTGGTAAATTCTTCTAGAGCAAGATGATGAGGATGAGGATGACAGTGGAGAAGTGGACACCAGTGCAGGCCGCTTTGTTCGCTATCAGTTCACCCCGGCATTTCTCCGTCTCCGGACAGTCGGTGCAACGTGAGTAAAAGCTCATACAAAGAGGGGGGAGTAATGCCTCCAGGGAACTTTAGGTACCAACCCTGTCAATTCATAGGTGAACTTAACAATGGACTAGTGAGAACCCAGTTCACAATACAAATGAAAAAGAAGCTAATAGTGACAGGGAAGATTCCAAGATCTGCCTCAGTTTAGCAGTGATATCAGCCCTATTGTTAGGTTCTGCATAACGGCAGCTCTGAGGCGCTCTGCCTCTCCCAGACTGAAGTGAGCTAGGTGGTCTCATGAGGTGTATTTCTCCTGCCCTATGCCTGCAGAGTGGAGTTTACAGTGGGAGACAAGCCAGTGTCAAACTTCCGAATGATTGAGAGACATTACTTCCGGGATCGCTTGCTGAAGAACTTTGACTTTGATTTTGGCTTCTGCATCCCCAGCAGCAGGAACACATGTGAACACATCTATGAGTTCCCCCAGCTCTCAGAGGACCTCAGTAGGTATCCTTCCTCCCTCACTGAACTGCTGCTGTGTTCAAATGCTCTCTCTCCCTGAGATGATAGATGGTCATGTGGTGGGACCGGGAACTAGGAACAGGTAGATCTGGGTTCAGTTTCTGGCTCTGCTGATGGCTCACTGTGTAGTCTTGAGCAAGTTGCCTTCATATGCTGTGTGGTTGAGGTTTGGTGTTTTCTTTTATTGGCAGCTGGTGACCTCAGAGTCACAGTGGCTTTTCCACATAATGCCTCAATGCATAGTCCAAGAGGTAACCATGGTGACTTGGAGAGACTGTTCCCTTAAAGGCCAAAGACATACATTCATAGCACCCACTGTTTGGGGTTTGAGCCCTCCAGCTGCAGACTGGGGTTGTTTCTTTTCTGGGAGCCTGTGGAGAGCCATCTGTGATGGCAAGCTGTGAGTATTCCAAATATGGTTTTATTACAAGATGTGCTAGGCCATTGAGGGACAGACTGAACAGGAACAGTTGAGTGCTCTCTGCCACTCTCTGGGTATGTCTGGCAGAGGGAGGGTGAGCTGAGTTTGTATGTGACTTAAGTACACAAGCTGGGCGTGCAAGTGACATTAGTTTTTCCACTTACTCCACACCAGGCAGGTCTCAGAGAAGGAATGTACTTATTCAGTGCTGCTGTACTGTGGCCTGACACAGGATCCAGAATATCTGTGTGAAATTGATCCACCCTCTTCCAGTTGGCTTTGACAGCCTGAAGACCTGCATTCTAGGGATGAGCTGAA